ACTTTTTATATATAGAAAGAAATATTAACTAATCTCGTTTAAGTTATTATTCAATATTATGGGTACATTAGGAAAAATGCAAAAAACAGTTAATATTTTCAACTATGTTAATTACATTTTCTTAATATGTGTGAAAACATAAATAATTCTATCTTTACGTGATGGAAGTAGTAAGGATTTTGTCATTGAAGACTTAAATTTACATGTTTAAATAGATTATAGATCCAAAATCTCAATTTTGAAGGATACGTGAAAGGTTAATTTACCCTTTTAGTTATGACAAATACTATAGTTTCAAATGGAGAAATGAATTTGAGAGAGAAATGTATGATTGAAATCTTGTTTCAAGAACATAATGTAAAATTTTCAAAATTGTGAATATTCTAATCTATAATATCATAAGAAATTATTATGTTAAAAATCAAACTATATTTTTTTTGAAATTGATTAAACAATAGTTGGATACGAAAAACAAGTATCAAATCATTCTAACGTTAGATTTGAGTTCTCCGATATAATTTTGAATTATACTTTGTATAATAATTATTATTTTTCCATTACACTGAGTTATTGTTATTTCTATTTTAAAGATCCAATATATCTAAATAAATTACGATCATAATATGTCATTTTAATTTCTTTTTCTTTTTAACTTGGAAAAACGTATTTTGAAGTAGTGATTTTTTGGAGAATGCATAATTAAAGAGTAAAGAAAAGTTTTGAATTTACATATAAAATTATTTTATGAGAAAATATGTGATTAAAAATGAATTTTTGTAGAAAATGAAGTCCAAACATTGGCATAATAATTAAAACAATAACGAAATTCATTCTTTTATTTGTATTTTGATAATTCATTTTTCCTTAATTAATTTCTATTTTATATTAAAAATAATAACGAAATTCATTCTTTTATTTGTATTTTGCTAATTCACTTTTCCTTAATTAATTTCTATTTAATAAGTAAAACAATAACGAAATTCATTCTTTTATTTGTATTTTGCTAATTCATTTTTCCTGTATTATTATTATTATTATTATGATTATTATTATTATTATTATTATAGCTAGCAGAACAGTTTAAAATTCAAGAAACGACAACCACAAGTCCCCCAACCGTGGTCCCTCATATGCATTGAACAGCATCGCCACGTGCTCCAACCAAGTCTCTTTTTTCGGTGGCGGCGTATGCGGCACCATCCCCTCCCAACAAAATTCTAATTATCGCCGCATCCTCAATTGACACCCCACCCCCAGACGAATCTTCGTTTCGTGTTATCCGTTTGCAGCAGTTTATTTTAGGTAAGAAGACTTCGTCTCGTATCATTTCACCTTGATTGTTGTGAATTAATTCGAATTTAAAGTGCTGTTTCTTTTTATGTTAATAATTTTTACCAGCGTCGATATTAATTCCTAATTTTCGAGAGTAAAAAAAACTTTCTTTTATGATTTCATGTGAAAGTGCACTAGGGCTAGTAATTTATCGGCTATTCGATTTAGAATTTTTTATTGGGCGTGGATTTTTGAAAAGAAAAACTGGTATAAGCTACTCCTGAATGCCCGTTTTTCGTTTTTAGGAGGGATTTTATTTGGTATCAGTGAACTTCAATTACATTTTTAAATGGTTAGTGAGTTCTGATTGAGGTTTGCTTGTGGTTGGGCAGTCCTCCTTTTACAGTTGCCACATCTTTGGGAATTTTTGAGAATTGTACCTTTTTATGCCAATCATTACCCTTAAGCTGTTTCAACACTGTC